TCTTCTTCTGGATCATCCAAATGCACTCTAGCAAACTTCAGACGGGCCTGGACATGTACTGGCTTAAGCAGGGGGACACGTCTGGCACTGCAGGATTTAAGTCCCTGGCGGCGTAGTGTGTTACTGATGGTAGGCTTTGTTACTTTGGTCCCAGCTCTCTGCAGGTCATTCACTAGGTCCCCCCGTGTGGTTCTGGGATTTTTGCTCACCGTTCTTGTGATCATTTTGACCCCACGGGGTGAGATCTTGCGTGGAGCCCCAGATCGAGGGAGATTATCAGTGGTCTTGTATGTCTTCCATTTCCTAAAAATTGTTCCCACAGTTGATTTCTTCAAACCAAGCTGCTTACCTATTGCAGATTCAGTCTTCCCAGCCTGGTGCAGGTCTACAATTTTGTTTCTGGTGTCCTTTGACAGCTCTTTGGTCTTGGCCATAGTGGAGTTTGGAGTGTGACTGTTTGAGGTTGTGGACAGGTGTATTTTATACTGATAACAAGTTCAAACAGGTGCCATTAATACAGGTAACGAGTGGAGGACAGAGGAGCCTCTTAAAGAAGAAGTTACAGGTCTGTGAGAGCCAGAAATCTTGCTTGTTTGTAGGTGACCAAATACTTATTTTCCACCATAATTTGCAAATAAATTCATTAAAAATCCTACTATGTGATTTTCTGGAAAAAAATTCTCATTTTGTCTGTCATAGTTGACGTGTACCTATGATGAAAATTACAGGCCTCTCTCATCTTTTTAAGTGGGAGAACTTGCACAATTGGTGGCTGACTAAATACTTTTTCCCCCCACTGTATGAGATATCTCAAAGTCGAACGTGTATAATCTAGTCGTTTCAGCAGCGTTAAGATAGCTTCCTGCTCCTGTAGAATGTAGACAGGTGTTAGCAGGCTACTATTACCATTGTTTTGCACTTGACATTACGATCCCCCAGCTGTGGCTAGTGTAAGCAAATAGCTGACTCACCAGGTTCGTGTTCAGTGGGTCACGCAACGGAAAACAAAAAATGAGTGTTTCTTATTGGACAAGTCCAGGTAGTCCCTCTATGTTTTAATCAGTTTTCTTCCGTTTGGTGCATAATGGACACAACATGGGTCCATATATTGTACTACTTCCTTGATATCCATAACATTACATTTACATTTTAGTCATTTAGCAGATGCTCTTATCCAGAGCGACTTACAGTTAGTGAGTGCATACATTTTTCATACTGGCCCCCGTGGGAAACGAACCCACAACCCTGGCGTTGCAAGCGTCATGCTCTACCAATTGAGCTACAGGGGACTACATGAGGTACATTCCTAATATACTGTACGTGGACGACCCAAATTCTATGTTAATTATATTCCATATAATAATTCACATTTCCTGTTGCTGCAGGATTATTCCTGTTGCTGCAGAAGATTTTACATCTGTAGTTTGTGCTTGGTGACAATTAAAATGTACCAGATCATGATCAAATACTTTCAAATACTTCAAAGGGGCAATCTGTTATTGCTACATCAATTTTTTGACTTTTAAATTAATTAAATTTACCCATTGATTCTTGAAGAATATAACTTGGAAATGCCTCATGAGTTTAGTTCAATTGTCGGTTCCCATCAGAACAGAACCCAACAAATAAGCTTGTTTTATCTTTTGTTTGTAAACAAAGTCATTGTAAACAAACACTTTATAGCCTCAAAACATGGTTGAAACTATATTTCTGATCTCATAGATGGTCAGTCCTTGCATTTATAGCTCTGTCTATGAATTTGAGATTGGTTACATTTCTTCAGCCCCATCCCTCAGCTATTTACCAAATCAGTGGCAGAGCGCCGGTTTTGTTATTGTTTGAACTGCAGATTGCCCCTTTATAGTATTTTAGGTGCATTTGATTTAGCTTGCCAGGTTTAATGGAACCAATGGAATAGTCCCAAAAATGTGACTATTAGGAATGTAAGAGTACATTTCCTCTCATAACATTGTCATTTCTTAGTAGATCTCAGGTACATGGTAAATAATATAGCCAACTTTTTTTTAAAGTCAAACCATTTTTATTATTATCAACTTGTGGTCACATTAACAATTACCTGTACTATTGACCTCTTGCTGTTGACCATACCTCAAAACTTCAAAATTGCAGACTTCCTGTGTTCTTACTCTTTCTTTTTCGACCAATTCCCCTCTTTCTGTACAGGATGACTTAAGGCCAAAAAAACAAGCAAGAGGGTCATTAAAGAGAAAAAAACACATGACTGTTAAAGCTTCAGTTTATATTTATTTTACCAAAGTTATTTGAATACGTTTTTAAGAGAACATTCTTCAGACCTCAGTAATTCGACTCAGCTGGTCTGGATGACGCTGGTGCCATGTGAAAATTGAACACATATTGCTCAAACTCATAGGAGAAAGGCTCCCTCTACGAAACGTCTATTTTATGATGAGATTTTTCTGGTGAGCTGCCAGCCACAGAAAGCTGATTTCCTAGTGTGAGTGGAAGCACCGTATTTAAAAAAAAACTGTATGGACAGAAAATGTAGATGCATCCAGTAATTGTACTGTCATTCAGCCTCCTTGTTGTAATGTTAAGAGTTTCTGCTAAACGACACAAATTGCAATATAATCCAAATGAGATAAATTATTTTTAAACGTCATTGGAAAAAGGCAAAGCAACGATGTTGAGACAAGGTGGTCTCTCACAGCAACAAAACAGCTGGGGCATTCAATAGTGTGTGGATATCTATCTCTCTTTCAAGACAAGGTGGCCCTCCAACCGGATTCCAACGAACCGAAAATAGAACCCTGTGGAACACCACAAGTATTCCTTACTTTTATACACAGAAAATACAATAAAAACTTCTAGGTTCACGTCTGTGCACATGCATTGTGTGTGTGTGAGAGTGTGTGATATCCTATAGGTAGTAACTTCACAAAAACAACAGACCAGGTCATGTTTTGTCCACCATTTTATGTTTTGAAAGAGCTGAAGGCTTAAGTACATCAAAAGGGGGCAACTGTACAAGAATGGAAGGACAAACAAACAAACTAAAGACTGTGTGGTTAAAGGGATGTTGAATCCCAACAGCAGCTCTCCATGCACACAAGGGTAAAGATAAGGTAAGAGCACCATCCTCATCCATAGATAAAGGTAGTCACAGTCAAAAGGAAGGCAGCTTGATTCTCCATGTCAGAAACACTCCTAGTCCTACCAGCTTCCAGTAGGCACCAAACAGGAAAACAACAGTCCAAAACGAGGAGGTACTATGTGAATTTGTCCAATAAGAAATGCTCATTTCCGTTTTCCATTACAAAACATTTTGCTACTGTGTGTCCGAATGAACACGACCCAGGTAAAGTTGGTTTACTTGCCAACTACACAAATCCCTGATTTAGTTTCTCTGTGTATCAACACCAATATTCAGACAGGTCCCCACAAGGAACAGTTTGGTGGTGACAATTTCAATCAACCATGTTTTGTGCAGACAATTCCAAATAAGTATTTTGAAGTGGTCTTTTTGATTTTTTTAGATTAGGGGTGCCATTGTTGGATGTACCCATAAAGCATCTCAGTTCTAAGCACATTTCTTATGTATTATAATCCTACATTGTGGGGACTTTTAGAATCAAAATCAGAGTGCTGGGTTTCAGAAGTAAGAACATAAAAAGACCTTCAGACTGAGGTATGTACGGTGTGTGTGTGTGTGTGTGTGTGTGTGTGTGTGTGTGTGTGTGTGTGTGTGCGTGTGAGTGTGTGCGTGTGAGTGTGAGTGTGTGTGTGTGTGTGTGTGTGTGTGTGTGTGTGTGTGTGTGTGTGTGTGTGTTTGTGTGTTTGTACGTGTGCATGACTGCCCTCTTTGACGTGTGGAAGTGTATATGGTACACTATACTGAAATAAACTGATATAAACTCTATGTCGTGACGAATGAGCCAATATTCAAATAGCCAGATAATATCCCCAATATGAAAACTTCATCCATATGTTACAGCTATCAATTCGTAATCCAAACAGTGTGATGCTGAAAATTCGTTAGATATGTTGTAGCTACTTGTGTTGTGTATTCAAATGGTGACTGTAAATAGTATCATTGCAATTCCATCAAGCAACGAGTCAGATATCAATATACATTATATCTAATTTCTGTACATGACAGTTTATTGTTACAAAATATTGAAGCTGTAACCGACTATTACTGGTGTGTACTGCAAGTAATGACTGAGTCTAAAAGATTATGACCATGATATCTTTATATTAACTTTATCAATGGAATTCTAATTCTCATCCATGCTATTTCTATTTCATCGATCAGTCCTCACTGTGTGCAGAGTGAATTGTAAAATAGATTGGCTTTTATTGCCATGTTGTAAGCATATGCAGTTTGTCAGTGGTGCACCCATCCTTCAACTAAATCTTTCAAGAAATATGCCACCTAGATCAGACATCTATCCGATCAGGTTTTCCTCAGTGTCATAAAATGTATAAGGCACGCTAGAGTCTTCCGGATAACCTTGCTACAGTACTTTGTATCTGCATTTTACACTCCCCAATGTTTTTTCCAAATACATTTTCAGTTTCACAGTCCTTTTCCATTGTTTTTTTTTTGTTTGTTTTTGATCTCTACCTAGAAACAGAGTGGTCGGGTGGTGGAGTGAGAATCCACATCTCGGGTGAGGGTAGTGTCAGTCTGCCAACATGGAAAGGAAACAAAGATGAAAACAGAAAAAGTATCTTCAGCTCTCGACGAAATCAAGCCGACCGCTCCGTAAGGCTTTAGTTGCTACTCATACAAAGACTAGAAATAGACGGTGCAGTAACCTAAGGTCCATGGGGAATATAATGTATTTAAGTGTCTCACTCTTCAGTCTCTTAGTCTTTGAGTGAGCTGGAGGGGTGTTGGATGGGTTTAGGGAGGGGTGGGGTGGGGTGGGGTGGGTGATATCAGAAGAGGCTGGTAAGGGTGGTCTGGGATGGGGTGGGGTGGGGGTGGGTGATATCAGAAGAGGCTGGTAAGGGTGGTCTGGGATGGGGTGGGGTGGGGGTGGGTGATATCAGAAGAGGCTGGTAAGGGTGGTCTGGGAAGGACTCATACTCATGGAGTCGTGTGGGTCCATGCCCCCCGGCACGGCGGTCAGTACATGGTTAACCGACGGAATAGAGGGGCTGGTCAGGTCCGTGAGGGCGGTGTGGGTGCTGGAAGGACTCATTGAGGCGTTGGAGAGCTCGGAGTGAGGGCCCGAAGGCGACCCCCCTGGTAGAGTGGACCCATCCGACACCTTGTCCATCCCTGTGCTCTCCTGACGTAGGAGGTTCCGTCTAAACTTGGCCCGGGCGTTTTGGAACCAAACCTTCAAAGAACCAAAAAAATATTTAAATGATTGCTCATTAGAAAAGTGTTAGTGTGGTAAACAAAAGCCTGGGCTGCGGGGGGGGGGGGGGGGGGGGGGTTAGAGAAAGAGGGGGGGGGGGGGAGACTGTTTCAAATCAAAACGACAAACATGAAAAATGAAATTCATCAAAGCCAAACGTTGGCTTTGTTGTCCTCGTTTTGTTCATTAGATCCGTGTTTTACAGCATGTCTGTTTTTTCTCATTTGCAGTTGTTTATACTTGTGCAAATGGTCCGTTGTGTGTTTTTGAATTCCCCTATCGAATGCTAAACAGCTGGTATGATAACTCGCTGACACTTTTTTCTCACATAAAAAAATACATTTAAAAAAGCTTTAGATCCTCTCTTGATAGGCTATGACTTATACCAAGAGATATCTCTACTGATTGTGTGAGGACTAAATGTTTTTACTCTTGTGTAATTGTGCAGATTATGTTGAATGGGATGGAAATAGGTTGGCCATTGGGATAATCGTATTACTTAAGCGATTACATAAATCAAAAACTTCCCTGCTAGATTTGTCTTGCATTTTACACCATTGTTATTTTCATTATCACCACAGTACAGATACAGGGAGCGCAATTTATAATATTATGTTATGTCAATATTTACTACTACTACATGTAAAACTAGTACGCAATACAGTGGTGGAAAAAGTACTAAATTGTCATACTTTAGTAAAAGTAAAGATACCTTAATAGAAAATGACTAAAGTAAAAGCAAAAGTCACCCGGTAAAATACTACTTGTCTAAAAGTATCTGGTTTTAAATGTGCTTAAGTACAGTGGTGGAAAAAGTACTCAACTGTCATACTTGAGTAAAAGTAAAAAGTTAAGTAAACGCTTTACATCAAATTCCTTATATTAAGCAAACCAGACGGCACAATTTTGTCTTTTTTCTATTTATTTACGGACAGCTAGGGGCACACCATTGCTCAGACATCACTTACAAACACAGTATTTGTGTTTAGTGAGTCCGCCAGATCAGATGCAGTAGGGATGACAACGCGTTATATTGATAGGTGCGTGAATTGGACCATATTGCTGTCCTGCCTGAGCATTCGAAATGTAACAAGTAATTTTGGGTGTCAGGGAAAATGTATGGAGTAAAAAGTACATATTTTCATTAGGAATGTAGTGGAGAAAAAGTAAAAGTTGTCCAAAATCTAAATAGTAAAGTACAAATACCCCACAAAACTACTTAAGTAGTACTTTAAAGTATTTTTACCATCAAATTAGGCCCAGGTTGTTATCAACATTATCATGTGTTTCATTGCCACATTATCACAGCACAGATAGTACCTTACCTTACCACTGAACACCACTAAACAATCAATTTACAGTAGCATAATAGCGTTATCATGACATCTCACAGTTAATACATTATCATACTCCTAAATACTACATTACCACAGAGGTAAACATTACAGCATTACCAGATCAATGCAACCACACAGCTAGCCTTGTTAACGCATTATCACAAGGATAAAGTGATGCACTATCTCACTGCTAAACTGAGCATGTCCAAATACAGCCCTTTGTGGATTCCTGCACAGGCCACAGCCTCATACAGTATATTGAATACCATGGTGAACTCCGTTTGGATAAAATGATCTGAGAAATGAAGTAGCTTGGGCTCAGAGATACTGTATGTACATGTTGGGACTGTGGTGCACTAAACCGAAGCATGCAGATATCCAGAACAAATAAGTATGATGTACAGTATTTGTGACTGGTGAAATGCAATGTAGTTTGCACTTATCCAATGAGCATCAAGGCCGGTATTCGTCTCAGAGTAGAAGTGCTGCTCTAGGATCTGGTCCCCCTGTCCCTAGCATCTTTATTATTGTTATGATCTAAAATGTAAAACTGATCCTAGATCAGTACTCATACTCTGAGAGACTTTTTCAATATGGGCCCAGCAGTGGACTATATACAATAACATACATGTGTGTAAATAATTATCCTTTATAAAAGGAATCCTCTTTCTCACCTGCAGCACCCGTTTGGTGAGACCTGTCTTCTGGGCCAACTGTTTCAGGTCCTTGGCGTCCGGATTGTGGTTGATGGCAAAGTAGGATTTCATGGTCCTCAGCTGGTGGTGTTTGAAGGAGGTGCGCATACGCTTGGACTTGGAGCTGGAGGAGTAGTGGGAGTCTCGGTCCAGGTGGTCCCCGTCATTCTCGTTACAACTTAACGCTGGAGGGGGCAGGACAACACACACACTTTAGTTCATGGTTACGATATGATACAATACATTATGATACCATACCATACAATAAGATATGTACGATACTTTGTTGACCATTTTCATGGAATTTAATTTATTGTAATCTCCCGTGGGCAGATTCTGCGTGTAGACCGGAGAATCTGCCGAGATTTAGTGGGCTGAGCGTTTCTTTTTGCGAGGGTCGAAACTTCGCAATCCGCCGGAACTCTAAATTTCTATCAAGTATAGATACAGTAATGTATCACGCAGCTGACCAAATTACGCGAGATTTTACTTCTCCGTTTACTGAGATTACATTTACTGTTCTTATCATGTCATCATTGGGATTATATAATCAGAGTTTTTCAATGTGTTGTTGTTGTTGTTGTTGCTGTTGTTTTTGTGAATGCTATGGCAGACAGACTGTGTGTCTTATTTGTTGACAGGAAAGCTCATTACTCCTTAATACCCACAACTCTGAGAGAAAATGAAATAAATAATATAAATAAATAAATAAATAATATGTGGGGTTGACATGAAAAACGCACGAGATTGACTGGGTAGCAACAAATATCTTTAGTGTTCTCATCACTGTGTAAGTAGTACAGTGTAAAAAAGTATTGCAATTGCTCATTATTAGACTGAGGTTACAACATGTTTCCTTTTTGCTTCTGTAAGTACAGTGTAACAATACAATAGTTGTTGTATTTACTGGAAAAATCACTGTAAAGTGTTACTGATCATTCCTTAAAAAACTGAGACAACAAATCCATTTGCCAAAAGAGTCAAGAGGTAATACAATGGGAAATGCCTAGTGCATATTAAGGACTTTTGCCAAAAGAACACCTTCAGGCTTAACACAGAGTTTTGGCTGCTGGAATTCACCACACTGCAGAAAATAAATATGGCATACATTTTCACAGTGAAAGGTCAGTGTTATGCAGTGCAGTCAGGGTTTGATATACTTATTTTTCACAGTGAAGGGACAATGTTATGCAGTGCAGTCAGGGTTTGATATACTTATTTTTCACAGTGAAGGGACAATGTTATGCAGTGCAGTCAGGGTTTGATATACTTATTTTTCACAGTGAAGGGACAATGTTATGCAGTGCAGTCAGGGTTTGATATACTTATTTTTCACAGTGAAGGGACAATGTTATGCAGTGCAGTCAGAGTTTGATATACTTATTTTTCACAGTGAAGGGACAATGTTATGCAGTGCAGTCAGGGTTTGATATACTTATTTTTCACAGTGAAGGGACAATGTTATGCAGTGCAGTCAGGGTTTGATATACTTATTTTTCACAGTGAAGGGACAATGTTATGCAGTGCAGTCAGGGTTTGATATACTTATTTTTCACAGTGAAGGGACAATGTTATGCAGTGCAGTCAGAGTTTGATATACTTATTTTTCACAGTGAAGGGACAATGTTATGCAGTGCAGTCAGGGTTTGATATACTTATTTTTCACTGTGAAGGAACAGTGTTATGCAGTGAAGTGAAGTCAGGGTTTAATAGACTTATTTTTCACAGTGAAGGGACAATGTTATGCAGTGCAGTCAGAGATTGATATACTTATTTTTCACAGTGAAGGGACAATGTTATGCAGTGCAGTCAGGGTTTGATATACTTATTTTTCACTGTGAAGGGACAATGTTATGCAGTGAAGTGAAGTCAGGGTTTAATAGACTTATTTTTCACAGTGAAGGAACAATGTTATGCAGTGAAGTGAAGTCAGGGTTTGATAGAATCTGGACCTCAAAATGATGATGAAAGAAATTTCAACAAACACCCTCAGGTGGCAGCAACATTCTAAAACAGAAAGAAAGAAAGAAAGAAAGAAAGAAAGAAAGAAAGAAAGAAAGAAAGAAAGAAAGAAAGAAAGAAAGAAAGAAAGAAAGAAAGAAAGAAAGAAAGAAATAAAGAAAGAAAGAAAGAAAGAAAGAAAGAAAGAAAGAAAATAGAAAGAAAATAGAAATAAATGCCTTATTTGATATTGTATAACACTGCATGCTAGAATTTCATTAGATTTGAGATTTAGGGTCAGAGAAGTGGGTCAGAGAAAAGAAAGATAGGTCTAGGCCTATATAAGTTGATTTATTTATGTATTTATATATCAGATTTGGAGGGAAATTGTGCAAATAATACTACCCATTTATATATCAATTGTACACCACAATCCTGACTAAAAAAATATATTTGTTTATAAAATAGGCCTTTAAAATAATGTATAAATATTATGTAATTACATTTTCATGTTCATGGTTAGTGAAGCACACTCAGAACTGTACATTTCAAAATGTTATGGAAAGCAAATCCAAAATCTCTTTTCCCAAAGCAGAATGCCAGAGAATTGATCTAATCTTGTAACTATTAGCGCCGTTCATGTTTAACTCAAGTGCTTACTACAGCTTTCGACTATTCGCCTTTCTTATTCAAATCACCTTATGCCACCGCAATATTGAGCTACACAAATGTAGATTGTATATCAATACAACCTATTCTCAAAAAACAGATATGCAGCACAGGAGGTTGGTGGAACGTTCATTGGGGAGGACGGGCTCGTGGTAATGGCTGGAGCGGAGTAGGTGTAATAATGGTGTCATTCCATTCCATTCGCTCCGTTCCGGCCATTATTATGAGCCGTCCTCCCCCTCAGCAGCCTCCACTGATATACAGTATATCTAGGCCTATCCTTATTAGGCCTGATCCTACTCATGTAACTAAGTATATGAATGATAAGTAGGCATACTGTATAACAAGTATCGCTTTTCAAAATGTCAGTCGTGTGTTTTTTCCCACAAAAGTATTACACATCAAGAGCTACTAGGTGGTGCGCAAGTCGGTTCTTTATTTATGAAGGGATAACATATAACTGGATGTGGGAGACTTGCTCTCCAGCCTCACTGGGGAAGTTTTCATCAGGATTCTACACAGGTGCTCCCATCTTCTACAAGCAATCCGACATTGATTTACCGACCCAAAAACCCAACAAACTGCGAGACTCAACAAGTGAAAGTGGGGCTGGGAATTTGGTCATCTCTCTCTTACTCTCTCTCTCATCTTTTTTGAAGTCCTACTCCCCATCTGAGCTATTTTCCACTTGTCTGCTTCTATTGTCGTCTAAAAATCTTTCACATCGAACCACTCTCTTTTTTTAACGAGCCAAGTTCCAAGTTTTGAGATAGGTTTTAGAAGACTAAATTGACTGTGCATGAGAAAATGTTCAATGGAAATAAGTATAACATTTTAAATCATATTCAATGGAGTGTTTCAAGAGATTATTTCATTATTCACACGTCACTCTGTAGCATGTTGAAATGGAACATACAGAGTATTAGCGTAGGACATGCAGAATTGAGTAGGCCTTCAGAAGCTGTTTCTCTTTGAATGCATTCATGTCGTTTAGTTAGTGGTTTATGCGTGTTCATTTCGCATTTGTTTCTTTATTATAGATAGTTTATCTTAATCTATTAGATTGGAAGTGGACGCATGCATCAGTAGGTCCAAGCCCGCTCCCATTCCACAAATCAACAGAGGCCTCCATTGAACGTCTCATTTTTCCCAAACAATACATCTTCTTAGAATAATGTTGTCTAATAAAGGTGAGTTATTCACTAAATCAACATAGATATCCATCAGATTAAAAATACGGCATGCTTAGTCTGTGCGTAAAAACATCCAAAGCACAACATTGTGCAATATTACGTAAAATTAGATGGAACCATTTAGTTTATGCATAGGCCTACTGATTAACTTCTCATTGTTTTCCAACGTTTCAAAGTTTGTATAGCCATTTGTATTTCCCAAAACAGACTAAATATGATCATTCTCACTGTAAGTAGGTAACCCAGTCCATCGAAATAAGCGACAGATCTTTTTTAGAAGAGTGTATTTCCATCAAACTAAAATATTTCAAATGAGTCCATCAGTCCACTCTTTAGCTCTTAATTGTCTTTCATTCCAATAGAGATATCACACACACTATGAAATAGAATAGGCCTTTTTTCTTTCATTTCAACATTAGTCAACCGCATTACAACTGTGTGTTACTTCTTCGTGGCACTTTTGTAGATGACCATAAAACCATTAATAGCTAACCGGTATATGCAAAGTCGTCCTACCTGCGTTGTAAGCCGCCAGATCTGCTCCAGGCCCGGGACTTTTCCTTTTCCTCGGCCTTCCTTTCTGTCCCGTACCGACGCCGTTGTAATACGGCATCCCCAGCGAGTTGCCCGTGCCGCTCTCGCCAAGTCCTTTGCCCGAGGCTACATTCCCCGCGTGATTGAAATGCGCTTGATATTCCCCTTGTATGAGTGTCTCAAAGTGGAGCCGGCAGTACACAAGACTGTCCCGCATTCCGAAGTGGTCTCCAGTCGTGAGCATTTTGTTACAGCTAGTACAGGTGAAACAGTTCAAGTGGTAGACCAAGTCCCTCGCCCGCATGACCATCTCCGACGCCGATATCCCGAGATGGCACCGGGCGCACCTCTGGACGGAAAACCTCCTGCTTGGGAGAAGAGAGCGGATGACACAAACACGTACAGAATTTAGATTCACAACATGGTCAGCAAACTTTAGTTTGTGGACATTATGATGGAGAACACTGATGTAAAGTTGTTATTAAGCAATACAGGCATATGAATTATCATGCGTAAAAGGTTTCATGCCTTCAGGCCTTCATATTTGTTTGTGTATTCTTGTCCTTTTGCCACTTCAAAATATGATGTTTTGGTTTAGACTAGTAAAGCATCCAAAGCAAGCACAGGCCTGTCAGAATCATGGAATAGTATAGGCTAATTTGTTGTAATTTGTATGAAAAATGTATGCACTCACTAACTGTAAGTCGCTCTGGATAAGAGCGTCTTCTAAATGACTAAAATGTAAAATGTTGTAAATAATGAATGGATAACAAGCTACCATGCTTTGGGAACATTAGCCTATACCATCACTGACTCTCTGAAAGGGGTTACAGGCTTGTCATTAGAGTAGCAGAAGCTGGTGCCTAGAAGTGTTTGTAATAAGTCGCCTAAGTAGCATGCTAGTTGTAGGCGTAATTGGATATCGCTCTTGTTTTCATGCTTGCTTGGCCAGTTGTTGTTGTTGTTGTTATAGCTGTAGCGTTGTATCTTGGTTACCTGTAGTAATCTTCTTTGCAATAGATGCTGCCGTCTTTACTAAAACAGGTAAGCTCGGACTCGAGGTTGAGTTTGCACTCGCAGCACTTGAGACAGCGCATGTGCCACTGTTTGTCCACCGCGAGCAAGTAGTAGCGGTCAGATATCTTTCCCCCGCATCCAGCGCACAAGGCCACACGGTCGCTGTTGATGGACGTCATACTCTGAACAGGGAAAGGGAAATCAGTTTTATGTTTACAATAAGAACACATGTTTGATAGTATATCACCAAGGGATGTCAAGGCCAATACCGTATAATAGTGAACATTTTACGCACACATATTTCATATTTGTTCATATACTTTTTAGGGATACAGCCATGAAAGCAACAGATAAATGGTAACACTAGATATACCCTAAATGTGGGATGATGTAACACGTAGGCCTAACACGTATGCCTAAAATGTAGGCCTAACACGTAGGCCTAGGCCGGAAAATTTGACAAATGAAAAAAAAAATCTAATATATATATGTAATTACGCATCCTTATCAATATTTTTTTCAAGCGCATTTTTTTCACATGAAACGCTCAATATTATCACAAATTAACGAATCGTGTTGACCTATTGCAAAAAGTATTCGATTGGGCCTAATAAACGAATAAAAAAAGAATCAAAGATCAAGCATTATAATTGTATTTAAAGCAATTGAATGCTTCTGCAAGATAACCTTATTTTATATGGGATATTTTGGACAATTCTTACAACAATGCTTACCTATCCTGCTAGCTATAGGCGTAGATAACATACAGTACCTACCTAAATAGGCTATCAAAGTGCTCAAGATTATTATCCGTTTGAATTAATGATTGGATTGTGAATGAACATGCATGGCCTTAAAATGGGAAGACATAGGACCATGTTTAGTGTAAACGTTTTTACCATAATTCTAGGTGGGCCTATGTACATGCATCTGGAAGGAAACTTCGTGAATCAAATGATAAAGTTATTGTAGGCTAACATGTTTTTTCAGAGGCATACGAAATACTAACACTTTACGCACACACGGTTTGCAAATATGAACGGCTAACGGCTAAGTGCTACTTGCTATCTTATAAATAATTATATTTTAATCACAGTTTACTTTCTAAGCATATATTCCCTCGAAATGAAAGCGTTATTTGTGCTTTCACATGCCTGAACAGCACAGGTCCTTCTTTAAAAAAGCATTCACCCACCGGCTCAGTTTCCCCCATGTCTATAGCCGAACTGATGGCGGTAGATTCGCCCTTCACCCTCCGGTCCATCTCGTCGATGACCCCCTGCATCTCGCCTCCGGGGAGCCCGTGGAAGAGCATCGTGGAGGCGGGAGGGCTACACTTGCAAGCGTCTCCCTCAGATCTGCAAGCCAAAACTTTCATGAGACGCAAATTTAGCCCATGCATTTAAGGTGAATGGCTCCCATCTATTGAAAGATGGTAGACTACGAAAAAATATAAAGATATTGGGAAAACATTTTCTTTTCCAACACTGTGATTTATAATTGCAGGCATTATTATAGTAAATATTCAGTTTTCTATATAGGCTATAGTTTACACCATCTTTGAACACGTTATGAAAATCATACAAAATAGCCTACTACTTACAAACAATAGCTCAGAAGTGTTATAAAAACATACCAGCAAACCACAATGTAAATTCTGGATCCAGTAATCGCGATCAATTTGCAGATTTCAAGATGCACAAAAATGCACCAATTTCAGTCTGTCATCGGATTAAAGTGATCAAGGACTATTGCAAACGTTCAACTTGCATTACGACAAAAATGGAGAAGGCAAAAATTATTCCAGGAGACAATACAGAAAGAAAAAAAAACTAAAAACACGGCAGAATTGTAGTGGTGGGTATCCTGGCCTCCACTCTTGAGTTCACAACAGCGAATTTCAATACTGCTTGTGGATGCTGGTGCAAAACATTTCAAAACCGACGACTATCGATCGAATATAACAGAATAACAAACGCGAGGAAGGAATGCGTAAAAACGCACAATTGTTCGTGTCCAGCACTGGTTATTACAAAACAGACGTTGTTTTCTTACAGGTATCCAGCTCTTCCGCAAAGCGATCACTGTGTGTGTGTGCACTTTAGGAGGAGGAGTAGACTATTGGTTCGATGAGTACAAATCCCTTGTCAAGACTCTCCGCACCGGCCTCACAGCCTCGTTTCGCTTCCCACCTTCTCCGTACCTATAGCTACACTCCGCGCCTTTTCTACGGGGACTCGTACGTCACGCAGCTATTTCACTCGTTCATTGGTTTGCAAACGTCACCAAAATTATCCTTATTACAATGTAGCTCGAGTTTGAAATGTAAAAGCCTAAATGAAGACCGTTATATCTATTTGTGTTGTTCAGCGTTATGTTTTCCTTATGGTCTTGGATGTCACTGAAATGATTAGGACGTTTTAATCATTTCTATAAAAGCCAAAAGGATTATTGTTATATTTTGACCATTTTCAGAATACTTTTCATGTAATTTAATCTTAGGACAAGTAGTGTTTACATAACAATGCATAAACATTTGCAAACATTCATAACATATTTAAATTTTTTATTTTGCACGTAAAAAGTTATGGTAATGTCTCCAGTTATTGGAAATTGTGTGATGTCAGAACACATGCACCATGGTATCCACATTACAGTAGAAACCTTATTTCTTTATTTAATGATTTGTTTAGGTACGGACTGTACACTGCAATTCACACCATGCAATAAACTAAACTAAAACTGAACTAAAATCTAAGAAATATTAGTAACTTATAGATGCTGGAATTCAAACACACTCCCATTTGTGTCATTTACAAACTATACTAGGGCCATGTGAGGGATCTACCTAGTCTGGAAATAGACGTAGCTCATACACAAACAATTATATTTCGCTGAAACAAATAGCATACTGTTTACAATCCTATTGATTGAATTTGAAACCAGAATACTAGGATTAGGCTATATATAACTGAACGTTGTTACGCTTTCTGAGTTTATCACATTGGACGGTGAATTTGAACGCACTATGGCAGTTGGCACAGTGCGGTGTGTGTGTGTGTGTGTGTGTGTGTGTATGTGTGTTGATATGCGTGCCCGCGGCGTGTGTGATATTAAGTAGGCTAATCTTTAGTCCATCTCAGAAATGTTACAGAAAATCATTGTTTGTTTTTCCTTTGTTTTGTTATATAACTGTAATTACTATTAACCTAATGACCCCATTGTTGTTTGTATTAATTGTAATAATTAGGCCTATTTGTAGCTTAGCCTTGCCAACTGATTGTGTAAAAGAAGAACGAGAAAATCCGAAAATGAACTATAGGGCTAACTACACCCCAGACAGACGGTCAATGTCTGACTCCGCCGTGGAGTGCCATCCATCTCAACAAAGGGAAAGTGACAGGTGAACAAATCACAGGTCCTTCGTTACCTTACTGCACCTCTTAGCGACGTCATCCTTTCGCTGCAGCCGCTGACTCCTGGACCATCTGTTCGCAACCCCGACAGGCACATTGGACAACACAATGCCCGGACCAGCTCCGTCGCAACAGCCGTGACTTAAACTCCAACAAAGAAGAACAACGCCTTCGGCCGCAGGGGACGGGGGCTCTACGTCGCCCCCGACATCATACCACCAGCGCTGGGGCTGCAGCAGAATAGCTTGTGATTAATCCATGTAATTAACAGCCATTGAGCGTGGCCTTACACTGATTTTACCTCCATATTTCTTCATCTGTCAGAGTGGCTATATTGGCTAACTTTCTGGGACTCATTAATGTGTGGCCAAATGAGGCATCCGAAATTTAAAAAATGTATTTCGTTATTTTTTTGTAGGGAACATTGGTTGTTTTAATGTAGCCACATAAAGCAATATGCATTTGCTTACTCTTGGGTTATGCCATACCCTTGACATAGATATTTACGCATTTTATCCACTTGGAAAACATTTTTGTTTTCTTAGCTATAAAAATAACCAAATCTGACAAATAACAATAGGCTATAATAATAATAATAATAATTAATTAATTTTGTGTTGTTATTTTTTTTAGGCTATTAGGCTATTATTTACATTGGTAAATCAGTGGCTATGCACATAAACATTGCCTATAGGCCTATTACACGTTTATGTCACCGCAATAATCCTCAGTAGAGACAGCATGGATGTAAAGAGTGCTACCACTCAACCAAAAAGTGTTACTTTGCTTGTTATGTGAGGATTAGTTTCGTTTAGTCACGCGAAGCTGGGAGCCTATACTGTTGACACACAAACGCTCGCGTGCCAAATGAGACGTGTATTGCATCGTTTGCGATTCGTAACGCACCGCGTCTGTCTTGGATAACTTGGTCTTCTGAAACACACCGGGAGAAAACGTCGTATTCTCAGGGGTCCCGGTGCTGTATTCATGGCCATAATTGATGACACAACATTATTATTCTGCCTAGAATGCTGCTGGACACAGCGCAGTGGCATTCAAACAGATGCAGCGTCCCATAAAATAAATAAATAAAATGTTAGGCAACGTTTCACTTTATACAGTAGCGACCAAAGTCAACATACAATGAATGTCTCGTCTTAGATAATCGTTTTACTAACTAATCAGAGATAATATACATAATAGTTCTACTAATCACTAATTTTGTTATGAAAATGTACTTAATGAAACATAGGCTTTCAATAACCTATAGTTTTCCAATTGGCGTATGTAAAACATTAAGTCAGTTGATCAAGTTTATGCATTTCCATATTATATATTGTTTTACATGGGGTTATGCTACAACCACAATTATCAACTAATTTTCATTATTGTCTTACAGTTTTGTGGTAAAGAAAGGAACAGTAACAAAAAGCAGTGCATATTTTGCTATAGGCCTTTTTCACAATTCTCCAATTAATAGATTATTTTAAGGATACCCATCCTCACCAGCATAATTTCTCTGCCTTACAGAATCTAGGTCAACTTAAAGGGACGTTTAAAAAATGTTCTACTTCATATAAATCATCTCCAGCACAAACCCCAACATCAACATATGGCGTTTCTATGTTTTGTATTAAAAAAGATAGAGGAAGATAAGTGTTTCACATGACATCATCGGTGTGCATCATGTGATTTTAACCAATTATGAGTAGGCATTGCCTACTAATTGTCTACTAATTGGTTGATAATGTCATTGGAAACACTTCCTCTATCTTTTTTACTACATATTTTTTCATACAATTTTCACATATGTTGATGTTGGGGTGGTGCGGGAGATGATAAATATGAAATTGAAAATAGTAGAATTTTCCCTTTAATACCACATCAAATATAATGTTGTATCAAACAGCTGGTAAAAAAAACACACAGGAGACATTTTTCCCTATATCATCACTGTACAATGATGTACTCCATTAGGCTATCAACATTCAAGTATTTAAAGATGTATAGTATCGTATCATAGCCTATAGGCTATGTAGGTTAAGTCCACCACATTGTTGATGTTTCTTCCACTCAGAGAAACTCACATACATCACCTGGCTCTTTCATTTGAATGAGAATGTCTCCCCAGTATATCCTTGAGTTTGAGCGAGCCTCTTTAGTATATTTTTTTGGCCCGCGTGCTGCTCCAGTCCTTATTTATCAGTACGCGCGCTTCAAACAGGCCTTAATGAGATCTGTGATCTCGCGGGGAAGTGGGATATTAACTTCATGACTACTTATAGTGAACATCTACCTTGAGAAGATTTCCCGTGTATAAAAGAGAAAGGGCGGGACAAGGCAAGACGACGTTTTGCTAAATCACTGAGTAAAATTGAGCTGAACTATTTGTTTGTTCTTCAAAAATAATAAGACACATTAAATTGATAGGCCTATTCAAATAGGCGGGGTCAGTGTCAAACGAGAGAATGGGCCTGTGACGTTAATTCAGTGGTAGGTGGCATGTGTTTTTGATTCTGTGTTGGAGGCTTCAAGGATAACATTTAAGCATGTCCAACACTTTCACATTGACAGGCTTGGAGTCTTTGCGCTTGCCAAAGGCGCGAGCGCATGGTGCCAAGACTGGCGAAGCATATGGCACATTTTCGCTCATACATTCAAACGATATGTTATTGTGTATCACTTAGGCCTACTTAACCTCCCCAAGCGAAGAGCCTGAGCAAATAACGGATTGGAGAAGGATCTAGTAAAATAAATAAACTCCTTCGGATCTTTTGAGTGAGAAACAATGTTTGCAGCTTTTGTGCAAACATCCAACACCACACATTATTTGGGTTTTGATGTAATTATCAAGTTTTGGAGCTCATCCTGAAACAAACACAAGAATATCCTAATGACTCGGCAAATAACAAATATTTTGTCCTTATAGGTGCTGTGTCTTGAGGTTTCCTAATCGATGTGAACTGAGGTATTTTTGTATCTTATAATTTCCCTCTTTGTTGAATACTTCAACCACTCACTTCCGATTTATGTAATTAGTGCTTGTTTGTGCGCGCGCGCCCCTGAGCGTGTGTGTGTCTCTATAACGCCACCAGCTGAACATGCGCCAGCGACTCCATTTCTCGCTCAGAAGAAGTGATATGGCGCATTGGAAAAAGCTGGTCTCTGCAGGTTGCGAAATGGCACAGCATGGATTATCGAAATTATTGGACAGGTTTCAAAACATAATGCATGTTTGTTTGCACGATCGAATATTCATTTCATCCTACTCTACATGTTAATTTCAAAACATGAAACCTGTATATAGGCCTTTGGAAGTGAGAGATGTTAAAGGTGTCCTTTCAGGTATCAATTAGTCTACTATAGCTCTATAATTTAAAATAGGGGGAGATAATCTTATATATGGGATAATGTCTTTTTTTTAAATTAGCATAGAAGTTCAGTTTGGAAAGAAATTGCAAAACAACAAACGAAAACGAACGCGTAAACTGAAATAACATTTCGAATCCTCTCCACTTGTTTGAGGTAAAAGGGATCCACATTTCACTTGCTGAGGATGAATTAACTCGATTTTGGGTCAACAATGTGTAGGCTAGTATAGCCTATTACAACAGCTTATGCCGGTTTAACAAACAACCCACTAAGAAGACCAGTGAAATCCATTAACCTGCAACAATGAGATGCCAACAGTTGAAAATAAACCGTTACGAAATTATTTTACATTGAATACCTTAACTCAAATACCTCGGGATTTCGACGTGTATCAAGGTGTACCATGGTAGGATTTAGTTACACATACAGCCTATCTGTAATCTATTCAATTAAAACAACGTGAAGGTGCAGAAAAGTCCCCCTTGTAGCACAAACACGAAAGAGCCTTGGTACGTCCTAAATCCGTATGCAAATAAAAACTCATGTAATACCCTTAATTGAATAAATGCATATTTATCATCTACGTCCTCTGTCTGGAATAATGTTAGCTCATGCATTAAACATTAAGTTACCCACGTCTGCGCGCGTGGATAAAATATGATATTGTGAGGGTTTGTTGAACAGAGGTTAGTGGTATCTTGTATCCTCACTCTCAAACATTTGCTCTTATCTTCTTTAAAGGCCCAATGCTGTCTAAAACGTGATTTTCCTGTGTTTTATATATATTTCCACACTATGAGATTGGAATAATACTGTGAAATTGTGAAAATGATGATAATGCCCTTTTAGTGTACCAGCTGTTTGAAAAGACCGCCTGAAAGGTCAGCCTGTTTTGGTGGGATGGAGTTTTCGCCTGCCCGGTGACACCCCAGGCCGTAAATTAGTTAATAGACCAAAAGAAAAGAGAGTTCCAAACCTCTCTGCCAATAACAGGTCATTTTCAGTTTTCCCATCTCCACTCAGACCACTCCCAGACAGGCATAGCAAAATTCTTGCTTCAGAAATTGCTCTTTGTTAAGAAGCTAATTTTGTTTATTTCTGACCAGAAAACAATCACAGAAAGGTACTTAATTGTTAGCCAGAAATGATTTCATATTGAGATCAAAACGGCTACATAGGAGCTTTAAATAAATCAACACCTGTGGATAAAGGAGAGATTACCTCGGTCTCCCTGTGCACAGGTCATCCCAGCACCAGCACCACCACCACCACCACCACCACCAACAACAATACACTAATACTTTTGTCTCCTGTTTTTCAGTTTATTTGTTGTTGATAAAAGTATAAAGCTCTTTCAAAACCGTTATTTATATATTCTATGTATTCATCTAGCTGGTAATCATTTGTTTAATCTCTCAATGTCTGCGTTCAAAACGCTCGCTCAGATCTCCTTTTGAGCTGGAAGACTACATCAATTTTGATTCCCTTCGCGCTTAAGTTGTGATGCACCTTGGCACCAAGGTTCCTGCATTTTTGGGGGTCTCTGGATACAGGGACCATGATCAAACCGCGTGCTCGTTTCCACACTTGATATCGTGCGCATTGCACAGTGGCACAGCTCCCGATTGCTCGCTTTCATTTGCCAGTTGTACATTTCCGATAATAATATATTATTTATATTTCTTGATATGGAGATTCTAATGAATAATAAGATACTCATAACAT